CACACATTTCTGTCTCCGCTCAGGAAGGATGGCTCCAGAGCAAACTAACTTATGCAGGCCCTGTTCATACGAGCCCATTTGGGCCGGGAGCGGGACGGAATGGGGGCGGAGCAAACGGGCGCGATCCCACCTCAACATTTGGGGAGCGTGCTGTCTCCGTCCCTGATCCATCCCAAATGCCGATACCGCGCTGTAAAAAAGAACCACCTTTCTAGGTGGTTGCATCCATTGGTGCGCCTCGAGCTGGGCTGTGGGATCGGCGACGCGTCCTTGCGCCGCCGCATCCCGGCCCCCGGCCGTACTGCGCATGCTCGAGCATGCACAGTTCGGCAGCCTCCCCCTCCCATCAGACTTTTCCTCCCCGGCATCTGATTGTGCCGGGGAGCGATGCGCTGCGGCTCGGGATCCGTGGGATCCCGCCGCGGCATCTCAAGTTTGGAGCGGCTCTGAGTAGCCGCGTTTCAGCCGTCCCGTGTGGCAGGGGCCGCAGTAGCCAGATTGCTTGCTCACAACTTTAATGCCAGCGGCTCACAATGTAGAATTTTTGCTCACAAGACTTCACAGCTTAGAGGGAGCATGGGTTGCAATCCCAGGAGATCTCCAGCTACTACCTGGAAGTTGACAACTCTAGCTTTGGGGGAAGGATGTTTCTCAAAGAAGAAATGAGCACCAGGAAAACCTGGTAGGGTTTGGGGAGGGGAGGGACCTCAGCAGCAATGCTCCCTCTAAGCTGCGGAGTCTTGTGAGCAAAAATCCTACTTTGTGAGCGACTGGCATGAAAGTTGTGAGCAAGCAATTTGGCTATGACATAAAGTAGTTTGCTCTGGAGCCATCCTTCCTGAGCGGAGACCCCCCCCAAAAAGTGTGAGCCGGAGGCTAAAAAAGTGTGAGCTAGCTCACACAAACTCAGCTTACAGGGAGCACTGCTCAGCAGGATATAAGGCCACAGAGCCTACCCTTCAAAGCATCTGTCTTTCTCCAAGGGAACTGATCTATGTCGTCTGGAGATCAGTTGGAATTCTGGGGGGGGGGGTTTCTCCAGGCCTCACTTGGAGACTGGTAACGCCTTTTCTGACTCTGCCGTTGAAATGCCCCCCACACCTTTCTCCACAGGAAAGAGATTGGCCTCTGTTCCATTTTTGATGAGAAACTCAAGTCCCCCTCATCTTGTACCGGATATGCAGCAGTCACCCTGTCTTTCTCAGCTGTATCTGGAATGGGAACTGGGACAGGGCTGCATTTCTAGCTCCTGCTTAGGAAATACTCGGAGATTTGGGGATGGATCCTAGAGAGGCCAAAGCTTGGGAAGGGGAGGGACCACAATGGGGACAGAACGCCACAGAGTCCACCCTCCAAAGCAGCCATTTTCTCCAGGGGAACCGATCTCTGCCGTCTGGAGACCAGTCAGAATTCTGGGGGATCAGCCCCCACCAGGAGGATATCAACACTCCCAGAATTACGACTGATCTCCAGTCAACCGAGATAAATTCCTGTGGAGAAAATGGCAGCTTTAGAGGGTGGATTCTGGCATTATACGTGGCTGAGGTCCCCTCCTTCCCAAACCCTGCCCTCCCCCAGGCTCTACTGCCAAATCTCCAGGAATTTCCCAGTCGGGAGCTGGCAACCGTACTAGCCCCAGAGCCACCCCCTTGTCTGCCTCAGCGGCTTCCACAGCAGGGGGCAACCTTCAGCCGTCTTCCATGCCCGCCCTCCCATGCAAGCCTCTCGCTTGCGTGTATGAATCACGCAGAGCCTCTCCAGCCGAAAATGATAACCGTTCAGGGGTAAAGATAATGCCTTGGTTTCAATTTATGACCGGGTGTTTCCTAGAACCGAGCCCGAGCAAATTTTGGAACCACTGGACAGGAAATAAGCTAATAATGGGATTTTGCAATATGCATTTTCCCATATATGGGAGTGAAAATGTGCCAGGTTAGTTGCTGACCTCCTGGCTCTTTGGGGGAAATCTTCACACACGCAAAAATAAAATAAATTAAAAATCCCTTTGTTCTCCCTCATTTGGCTTTGCTGTACGTCGGGGAGGGGCCCACAAAATGACTCTGAGGGCCTGCCGTATGTTTTTATTGTGGAAAGCCTGTTTTGTTACCATCCTTAACGTGTGTTTTCTCTGCTTCAAGCCGTCACAGTCTCCTTTCAGTAAACCACAGCAGAGTTCTCTGCCTACCTACCCATTTCTTTTCTCTCTCCACCCCACGGTGCCCTGTCTCATGTCACACAACCCCCTTTCTCTGCACTCCCTTTCCTTCTCTTTTCCCATGCGTACTTCTCTCTGGATTCCCATACCTCAGTTTCCCCCCTTTTTTCTGTTCTCCTCACCCCCCTTCGCTAAGATTGTGAAATCCGGCCCCTACTGTGGCCAGTTTTAGCCAACAAAAGCCATTTCAGGAGTGGCATTTTTGCAGAAAGAAACCGCTTTCCCCATCTGCAATATTTCCTCCACAACTAGGGCTACCAACCGCCAGGTAGGGTTGCCCATTCCTCTCTGGCCACTAGTGGGAGGGCAGGGGTGCCAGCTCCAAGTTGGGAAATTCCTAGAGATTTGGGGGTAAAGCCCGGGGAAGACAGCAGGTCTGTAGCTACGTTGAGGTTTTTGGGGGCTCTGCCCCCTTTCTTAAAGGCACAGCCCCACAAAACTTTCTCTTGTAAATGCTTTTTTCAATGTTTAAAACGTTTTTAAAGGTGTGCAGAGCGGGGTGCGGTAGTTGATTAATTCCCTCACTGAGCAAGGGGGTTGGAGTAGGTGACCTCTAGGATCCCTTCTAACTCTGGGTCAAGAAACTGGTCTCCTTTCAGAGAGTTTTCCTGCCTGTTAGCTTTCTTGATTATAGAAGTCATCACCCTCACCTGCAGTTTGTTCTCAGAATTGTTGCTTAGACTGGCAAAAGTGATTAACTTGCAGCAGCTGAGAACTGTCAGCTTGCGGTTTAGAGCTCTATCCTGGTAACAGCTTTCTATTGGCTAAATGACTTTTCTTTCTGCACTGAGAACTTCAGCCCCACCAGAAAAAAAATTTGCTCCACAAGTCAGTAATCCTGGCTATGGGCCTGGAGGACAGGGACCTCAGTGGGATACAATGCCACAGAGTCTACCCTCCAAAGCAGCCATTTTCTGCAGGGGAACTGATCTCTGTAGTCCGGAGATGAGCTGTAATTCTGGGGGATCCCCGGGTCTCACCTGGCAGTTCCAGGTGGGGCCTGGAGTTTTCCTCGAATTACAACTGATTGCCTGACAACAGAAATCAGTTGCCCTGAAGAAAACGGAAAGTGGTCTTTCTAGGAGCTACCCCTGAAATCTCCAGCAATTTTCCAACCTGGAGTTAGCACCCTTATCACAACTCCCTTCTGCCAGGGGTCATTTTGTAGAAAAAAGAGGCGCCAGGAACTTATTAGCATAACTTATTTGTGTATGCCACACCCCCTGACATCACCAGAAGTGTATCAGAAGGCAACACCCACCACTCAGGCTCCACTGGACTGTTTTGGATTGCTAGCTATGGGGGGAGGGGGGGACGGGAAGAT